GCAATATAGAAATCCTGGCCAGGACGCGTCCTGGGAAAATGGCATATATGGTCACCCTACTTTAAGATGATGTATTAATAATATATTTCTTTAGTTTCTTAGGAATGTCTGTTACCTTGGACTAAGATCTGGTGGTCCAAAGCAGTTGAGAGTGGGGATGAGCAGTTTGGCGGGTTTGCGTCCTGTACCTCCAGAATCTGTCTGTGTCCTATGCGTGGGTTTGGGTGTAGATGTGGGTGGGAGGGTTTGTTTCTGTACTTTGGTCTGATGTTTGGGGGAGGGGTTTGGACTCCAACCCCTTACAGGTGAACGACAATGTCGTAGGGTATTAAATTGCAGTAACTCCTCTCCTAAAAGATTCCCTAGTGATGTACGTCGTACTGGGCTGCCTAGATTGGGCAGAAGAAGGTTTCGGCATGCATTGGAAACAGGTGGGACGTGGAAGTACTTGTCTGGATCATCAGCCTTTTCTACAATGGATGGACGCTTATTCTCAGTTGATGCATTGGAGTCTGGGTAGTTCTGCTGCAAGGAGAAAGAAATGACACCAGGGGATGGGTCAGAGACTGTACAGTATGCAGAGACAGACCACTCTTTCAATACAATGAATGTGAAAAATTGGAATGCCCAAGAAGGCAGCTGTAGTAAAGTAACCCACAATTCAAATGAAAGAGTCAGGTCAGTTATGTTTGTATCTCTTTAAGTTCTCTGGTTACCATTGTTTTAAAGAATAGAGCTTGTGGATAGGTTGCAGACAGCTTTTCCTATATTTCACCTACATTTTCTAATTTAACTTATGTAAATATTTAAAATCTGTAGCTCGAGGAGAGTGTGCTGGTAGCTCAGGGCCTTAGCCGAGTCTTGGGTCCAAGCCCCTCACACAAGCACAGCAAGCCAAATTTCTTTACCATTATTTCTATAGAGGATTGAATAGGGAAGTGAACAAGTTAATCTTGATGTGACAGCTTTGATAGTGATAATGAATTGTTTAGTTTACTATGTAAGTATGTATGTTGAGATTGACTGATTGTAGCCTTACCTCAGTCTCACTGCCCTCTCTCAGATTGTATGTGAGGTTTTGGTGGATGTCAATAGTGAAGATGCTGGCATACTCGGGATATAGTTCAAGAACATCACTTAAACCTTTCATACTGATGTACTGCAGGTCACAATATGTCAGTGCCTTCACATCTGCATTCATCTTGATCACATGATTCTGGCCTGGCAGGTCTGAGCCAATCAGATCTCCTTTTCCTGTAATGACATCA